ATTTAATAATACTCTTTTAGTTGTTTTTAAATATACACTTAAATTATTGACTTAAGTTACCCTGTTGTGCTATCACATAGTAGGTCTTATTCATTCTTAATTTTTTTATTTCGGATGCAAGGTCATGCTTCATCACCCAGGCTGGAGTACAGTGTCATGATCTTGGCTCACTGCCACCCCTGCCTCCTGAGTTCAAGCAATTCTTGTGCCTCAGCCACCCAAGTAGCTGGGATTGGGTGTGCGCCACCACACCCAGCTATTTTTTTATTTTTAGTAGACATGGGATTTTGCCGTGTTGGCCAGGCTTTTCTCCAACACCCAGTGGCCTCAGTTGTTCCTCCCACCTCAGCCTCCCAAAGTGCTGGGATTACAGACATGAGCTATCATGCCTGGTTTGTGTTTTTTTGTTTGTTGTTTGTTGGTTTTAATTTAAATATTTTTAAAAACAGAGACAGGGTTTCGCCATCTTGCCCACATTGGTGTTGAACTACTGGGCTCAAGTGACCTGCCCACCTCGGCCTCCCAAAGTGTTGGGATTACAGGCGTGAGTCATCGCACCCAGCCTAGGTCTTATTCATTCTTTCAATTTTTCTTTTATACCCATTAACCTTTTTCACCTCTCCCCTGACGCCCCCAATACCCTTCCCAGCCTCTAGGAACCATCTTTCTATTCTCTATGTCCATGAGTTCTATTGTTTTGATCTTTAGATTCCATAAATGAAAACATGCAATGTTTGTCTTTCTGTGCTAGGCTTAGTTTACTTAACATAATGATCTCCCTTTCCACCCATGTAGTTGCAGATGACGGGATCTAATTCTTTCTTAAGGCTGGATACACATTCTCTATTGTGTATATGTACCACATTTACTTTGTCCCTTCATCTGTTGATGGACACTTAGGTTGCCTGCAAATCTTGGCTGTTGTGAACAGTATAGCAACAAACAAGGGAATACAGATATCTCTGCGATATACTGATTTCCTCTCTTTGGAGTATATTAACACAGCAGTGGGATTCCTGGGATCATATGGTAGTTCTATTTTTAGTTTTTTGAGGAACCTCCAAACTGTTCTTCATAGTGGTTGTACTAACTTAGATTCCTACCAACAGTATACGAGGGTTCCCTTTTCTCCACATCTTTGCTAGCATTTGTTATTGCCTATCTTTTGAATATAAGCCATTTTAACTGGGGTAAGATGATATCTCATTGTAGTTTTGATTTGCATTTCTCTGATCATCAGTGATGTTGAGCACCTTTTCATATGCCCGTTTGCCATTTGTAAGTCTTTTTTTGAGAAACATATTTTCAACCCTTTTGCCCGTTTTTTTGATTGGATTTTTAGATTTCGTCATATAGCGCTGTTTGAGCTCGTTGTCTATTCTGATTATTAATTCCTTGTCAGTTGAGTAGTTTGCAAAGATGTTTCTTGAATTCCGTGTCTCTTCACTTTGCTGATTGTTTTCTTTTCCGTGCAGAAGCTTTTTAACTTGATGTGATACAGTTTCACTTGATGTGATACAGTTTCTCCATTTTTGCTTTAGTTGCCTGTGCCTGTGGGATATTACTTAAGAAATTTTTGCCCACACCAGTGTTCTAGTTTTCCTCAATGTTTTCTTGTAGTAGCTTGTAAAGATACGTAGAAAGAGGAAAGAATATAGAATTGGCAGGAAAAATAGCAGCCAAATCATGCAGGACCTTTTATGCTGTTTGGGATTTGTAATATCCTATCAGTTTAAGTAAGGATGCAATGTGATCAGATTATTGTTTTAGAAAAATAGCTAAACTATGCTGAGAGACAAACTGGAAGCAAGCAGTTCTGTTGGGAAACAGGACGTGGACCGGTGCAGGAGGTCTGGGGATAGAGAAAAGGATGATATTGCCTAAGACAGTGGGAATGGATAAGACGGTAAGATTCTAGAAACATTTTGGATGTTAAATTAAAAAGAAAAATACCTCAGTGACTAATTAGATATGGGATTGGAGAAGGAGGAGAGTATAAAATAACCTTGAAATTTCTAACTTGCAAATGTAATAACTCTGAGAAGAGAAACTGCATTTTCAGTAATCTCTTTGTATGGGAGCAAAATTCATTTTTTTTTTTTTTGAGGGCACTAATCTGCCAGTGTGGGAGCAAAATTCTATTGCATGTTCTCACTTTATTCAACACATTAGCCAATGATTAATTATTCTCTGTCTTTCTTACTAATCTGAAACCTGAGAATTTTTCAAGTATTCTTTTTCTAAAAGGAAAATTATAGTGGAGTATTTTTTAGATTATGGAGGTAATATATGCTCATTATTTTTAAAAATTTAGATAATGCAGAAAGATATAAAAACTATTATATAGCCTAGAGGAAAGTGAAAAGCTTTCATCATCCATGGTTAACCACTAGTAACATCTTGTTTTTATATACTTCCTAACTTTTCTATGCAGATTTATATATAAGTAAATATTTTCTATAAATAGGAGACTATACCTGCTGTTTATACCCTGCCTTTGTCACTGATTATATATATTATGCATATTATTCCATGTCAAATATGAATCTGTTTCACATTTGTAATTGCTGTGTTGTATTCCATTGTGTGGATGTACCACCATCAGTTTTCTTTTTTTATCTTTTTTGTATAATACTGCCATGAAAATTTTTATCCTTATATCTTTACAAGTTAATCATATCTGATTACTTTATAGGATAAATTTTCAATAGTAGAAATCCTGGGTTAAAGATACATGTTTTAAATTTCTAATGCATACTTTTTGATCAGTTATGCTAATTTACATTCTAGTCCCAAACTATTGGGTATAAACCCCGTTTCTGTTTTTCTAGCTCTGTGACTTTTCTCTAAAATGTGAATACTAAATATTTATCTTTTAAGGTTATAATTAAGTCAGAGAATGATTATACATATTTAGCCCAATGTTTAGTACCTAATAATTGCATAATAAACGCTACCCATTGCTCTTGATAACATGCAAAATATACATTTCCCCAAAGCCTTGTTAGTACTGGATAACATCAGTCTCTTTAATTTTTACTAATGTAGGGGAAATGATGTGTCATTTCTTTCTTTTTTTTGTTTTTTGATACGGAGTCTGGCTCTATTGCCAGGCTGGAGTGCAGTGGCACGATCTCAGCTCACTGTATCCTCCCTCTGCCTCTTGGGTTCAAGCAGTTCTCCTGCCTCAGCCTCCCGAGTAGCTGAGATTACAGGCACGCACCACCACGGCCCACTAATTTTTTTTTCTTTTTTTTTCTTTGCCTCTCCCAAAATGGCCCGCTAATTTTTGTATTGTTTTTGGTAGAGATGGGGTTTCGCCATGTTGGCCAGGATGGTCTTGATCTCCTGACCTTGGTGTCTGCCCACCTCGGACTCCTGGAAGTCCTGGAATTACAGGCATGAGCCACTGCACCCAGCCAATATGTCATTTCAATTAGAAATTTTGGACAGTGAACAGCTTTTCATGTGCTTATTGGACTTTTTTGTTTATTCTTTTCTGAATTGCTTTGCATTTTCTGTGATTCCTTTAAAAATTTGCTTTTTTTTTTTTTTTTTTTTGAGACAGTCTCGCTGTGTCCCCAAGGCTGGTGGAAATTCTAAAATTTTTATGTGTTGCTTGTACATACACTACTGTATAAATAGATATTTTATAAAAATATGTTTTGATGGTGTTCATGAATTCAGAGACCAAAACTTTTCACTCCCAAAACTCAAAAGCATGCTACTTTCTCAGTAGCAGGAAAATATATCGTTGTAAAACTTGAGTTACTGTTTCAGAAGTGATTTCTATTATGTTTATACAAGGAGAGCTCCTTATGTTTTTATGTTTGAAAATTCAAAGTAATTTAATGAATATTTAAGGTCCACTCTATTCGAAAACTTTTATTACACTAGAAAATATAACTCGTTAGTTGTACTCATTTCAGTTCCATCTTAGTGTATGTTTGTTTCCGTAATGTTCCCCTTACTCACAAACATTTACTTTTTTTCTTTTTAGTAAAAAAAATTTGTTCCTGCCGGGCACGGTGGCTCAAGCCTGTAATCCCAGCACTTTGGGAGGCCGAGGCGGGTGGATCACGAGGTCGAGAGATCGAGACCATCCTGGTCAACATGGTGAAACCCCGTCTCTACTAAAAGTGCAAAAAATTAGCTGGGCATGGTGGCACGTGCCTGTAATCCCAGCTACTCAGGAGGCTGAGGCAGGAGAATTCCCTGAGCCCAGGAGGCGGAGGTTGCGGTGAGCCGAGATCGCGCCATTGCACTCCAGCCTGGGTAACAAGGGCGAAACTCCGTCTCAAAAAAAAAAAAAAAAAAAAAAAAATTTTGTTCCTGTTGGGACCAAGAGTTCCAACACAAATATTTAAATAGAGGAAAAGTAAATGAGAGAGCCATTAAGGTCTTATAAAAGAAGATGCCTGTTAGTCAGAGTTTACAAATTATTAACCCATATATCACAAACAAGAAATCCATTTTTCAGGTTTCAGTTTCATAAGTTTCTTGGCATAATCGCACTTTTAAAAAATTAACCAATCAGTGATTGTTTCAGTGAAACAATTAGGCTTTAGGTCATGTGTGAAACCTTTCAATAACCATGTACAAACAGCCTTTTGATGTAAGTAGGCTTTTTGTTACCCATTTATAGAGGAAATTGAGGTTTTGAGGAGTTAATGTCAAATGGTAGAAAGGAACGAAACTAATATTTTGAGTACCAAATTAACCCAGCACTTTATTTGGTGTTTTATATTATTTTGAATAAGTAGATTATTTCCTGACAGTGAATTTGATCAAGTCATTAGTGCATTATATATAACCAAATATGTTACCATATTACCAGTTCTTTACTTTTTAAATTAATCTGTGATTGTTTACTCAGTTTTTGTATAATCAGAATACACTAGTCCTGCTTTTTATAATTGAATAATCACTTTTCTCTGCTTCTTAAGATATCTATAGTTGATTAAAATAAATAATCTGAAGCATTTTTCTTTCTTTTTCAGATTCCTGAATTTGACAACTTGTATCTGGATATGAATGGAATTATACATCAATGCTCCCACCCTAATGATGATGATGTTCACTTTAGAATTTCAGATGATAAAATCTTTACTGATATTTTTCACTACCTGGAGGTATTGTTTCGCATTATTAAACCCAGGAAAGTGTTCTTTATGGCTGTTGATGGTGTGGCTCCTCGAGCAAAAATGAACCAGCAGCGTGGGAGGCGTTTTAGGTAAAACATTTATGCTTTATTTTGGAATATTATTTAGCTTAGTAAAAATATATTATTTTAAAGATAATTGATTTAACACAATCTTCTGTTCATGTTTATTTTCTGCGTAAAATTCCCCCAAAAATGGAAATATCTCAATGACATATTTTGCTAGTCAAGTAATGAGTTAGGAGGAACTCAGTAAGATGTCCTTTCTCAAAACGTATGTTCAGGGTTCTTCGTTTGTTTGTTGAGACAGAATCTCACTGTCACCCAGGCTGGAGTGCAGTGGCGTGATCTTAGCTCACTGTAACATCTGCCTCCCTAGTTTAAGTGATTATCGTGCCTCAGCCTTCCAAGTAGCTGAGATGACAGGCAAGTGCCACCAGACCCAAAATTACATACTTTTTTATGATATACTGTGTGTGTGTGTGTGTGTGTGTGTGTGTGTGTGTGTGTGTGTTTGTGTGTGTGTGTGTGTGTGTGTGTATAATTTTGCTTTTTCTGAGATGGAGTTTCACTCTTGTCGCCTACACTGGAGTGCAATGGTGCAATCTTGGCTAACTGCAACATCTGCCTTCCAGGTTCAAGTGATTTTCCTGCCTCACCCTCCCGAGTAGCTGGGATTACAGGCACCCACCACCACGCCTGGCCAACTTTTGTATTTTTAGTAGGGATGGTTTCACCACATTGGCCAGGCTGGTCTCGAACACCTGACCTCATGTAATCCGTCTGCCTCAGCCTCCCAAAGTGCTGGGATTACAGGTGTGAGCCACCGTGCCTGGCCAGTTTTTTTTTTTTTTTTTTTTTTTGAGACAGTCTCGCTCTGTCACCCAGGTCGGAGTGCAATGGCGTGATCTCGGCTCACTGTAACCTTTGTCTCCCAGGTTTAAGCAATTCTCCTGCCTCAGCTTCCCGAGTAGCTGGGACTACAGGCGCGTGCCACCACACTGGGGTTTCACCATGTTAGCCAGGATGGTCTTGATCTCCTGACTTCGTGATCCACCCACCTCGGCCTCCCAAAGTGTTGGGATTACAGGTGTGAGCCACTATGCCCAGCAAATTTTTTTTTTTTTTTTTTTTGAGACGGAGTTTCGCTCTCATTACCCAGGCTGGAGTGCAATGGCGCGATCTCGGCTCACTGCAACCTCCGCCTCCTGGGTTCAGGCAATTCTCCTGCCTCAGCCTCCTGAGTAGCTGGGATTACAGGCATGTGCCACCATGCCCAGCTAATTTTTGTATTTTTAGTAGAGACGGGGTTTCACGATGTTGACCAGGATGGTCTCGATCTCTTGACCTCGTGATCCACCCATCTCGGCCTCCCAAAGTGCTAGGATTACAGGCATGAGCCACCGCGCCCGGCCAGCAAATTTTTTAGTAGAGACAGGAATCTAGGTGAGCCGTAAGGGATGACTTCCCAAACAGCGCCACAGAACTGACTCACCAGTGGCAGAACTGTTACCACATTCAAGTAATATGGTGAAGAGTTTAGAGCCCCCTACCAAAATGGGTGATTCCAGGAACTTATTCCTTCATCTGTGATCCAATAATTAAGCTGTCACTGGTGGCTCTAAGAATACATCACTAGTTACAGTTCAGCAATTAGGATGCTACCGTTGCATCTGTTGGTTCCAGAGCTACAGTGCACCTGCTATATCTGTACTGAAAAAAACTGATTCTCTGTTCCTTGCTTATTAGCACCTCCAAAGCTACTGAATATTGGGATCTTCTTTACCATTGCTGAAATATTCACAGACACTAGAGCTCCAATGCCTCAACTGTGATGCAGGCATCACCACACTTCCACCTTCCAAACCTTTTATGGAAGCATCTAATTGACAAATTCTAAGCCATATTCAGATACTTAGCTGCAGGGAATCCTGAGAGCTTTCTAACCTCTGTGGTATCAGAAGGTAAACTAGGAGAGTGAAACGGAAGTTGAGGGCCGATACATTATAACCACCACAAGCATTTATTAAATACTGTGCTGATATTGAGCACTATATATTTTTCCTAGAAATCCCCTAGTTAGCTTTCTGCCATTCTCTACAGTGTTGACTTTCTCCATTCGTAATTCCTTGTTTTACTTGTTTCTAAATATGTCTTCTATCTTTTTATCCCCACCATGCCACTAAAATTTCCTAACAAAATTATGGCTAAATCCAAAGAATAATTCTTTCTTTAACTTATTTCTTTCTTTAACTTATTTCATTTATCCACATCATTTAACAACGTTGACCATTCTTTTTGAACTTCTCCTTTTCCGTGACCATCATGTAACCACATTCTCTCTTTGACCATACTTTCTTTTTTTTTTCTGAGACGGAGTTTCGCTCTCGTTACCCAGGCTGGAATGCAATGACGCGATCTCGGCTCACCGCAACCTCCGCCTCCTGGGTTCAGGCAATTCTCCTGCCTCAGCTTCCCGAGTAGCTGAGATTACAGGCATGCCCCACCATGCCCAGCTAATTTTTTGTATTTTTTAATGGAGACAGGGTTTCACCATGTTGACCAGGATGGTCTCGATCTCTTGACCTTGTGATCCGCCTGCCTCGGCCTCCCAAAGTGCTGGGATTACAGGCTTGAGCCACCGCGCCTGGCCTTTTTGACCGTACTTTCTTAGTCTCCTTGTCATCTTTTCTTCCTCTGCTTTTCTTTCTTTTCTTTTTCTTTTTATTTTTTTGAGACGGAGTTTCGCTCTTGTTACCCAGGCTGGAGTGCAATGGCGCGATCTCGGCTCACTGCAACGTCCGCCTCCTGGGTTCAGGCAATTCTCCTGCCTCAGCCTCCTGAGTAACTGGGACTACAGGCACATACCACCATGCCCAGCTAATTTTTTGTATTTTTAGTAGAGAGGGGGTTTCACCATGTTGACCAGGTTGGTCTCGATCTCTTGACCTCGTGATCCACCCGCCTCGGCCTCCGAAAGTGCTGGGATTACAGGTGTGAGCCACCGTGCCTGGCCCTCTGCTTTTCTTAAGTATTAATGTTTCTTAACTTTCTATCCTAAGCTCTGAGTTATTTCATCCAATGGCTTTGATCACTGTATCTCTGTTGGTGACTCCAAATTTATCTTTCTGGTGGATTGCTTTCTCCTGAGCTCTTATATATCCAAATGCCTTCTGAATGTCTCCCTTTGGAAAACCCAGATTATACTTCAGGGTTAACATATTTAGAACTGAACTCCTCTTCCCCTTAAAATAGCCTGCCTTCTGTATTTCTTATTTCAATGAATGACAACACCTGCCACTAGCTACCTAATCCAAAAGTCCAAGAGTTATTTGGACTTCTCCCTCTTCCTCATTCCTCATATCCAATCCTCTTTATTCAGTCTCAAATTTGTCACATCTGTCTACTTCTTTTCATCTTTAATGCTACTGTCTCAGCCTGGACTACCATTATCTTAATCTAGATTACTTTAATAGTCTTACCTTGTTCCTGTCCCAAACATTTTCTTTATTGCATCCAGATTAAACATTATGGCTATTTAATTTTCTGCCTCCCTACTAGAGTGTAATCTCTGAGAAGAAGACTTTTTTTTTTTTTTTGAGACAAAGTCTCACTCTGTCTCGCCCAGGCTGGAGTACAGTGGTGTGATCTTGGCTTACTGCAGCCTCCGCCTCCTGGGTTCAAGTGATTCTCCTGTCTCAGCCTCCTGAGTAGCTGGGACTACAGCCACTCACCACCACACCCAGCTATTTTTTTTTTTTTTTTTTTGTGCTTTTAATAGAGATGGGGTTTTGCCATGTTGGCCAGGCTGATCTCAAATTCCTGAACTCAGATGAGTCACCCACCTCAGCCTCCCATGCTGGGATTACAAGCGTGAGCCACCATGCCTGGCCAGGAATAATTTCTCTTTTGTTATATGCTAAGACCTTGTGACATAACATTGTTGAATAATTGGTCAGCCAAAAAAGGAAGGGAAGAAAAGAGGAAAGAAGACATTGCAGAGTTTACAAATGAGCTGGTATCTTCAGAGTTTTTGTTATATTAAAGAGGATGGTGAAAGAGAGGTTAAGCATGAAGAAGAGTTTGTTCATCAAAGAAACAGAATTCTATAGGGCGCAGTAGTTGAAGTTGGTAGCAAGGCTATAGAAACTATCTTCAAAGCAGAGTTTCCTAACTTGTATGCCATGTGGCATGCTGGTTTGCTGCAAAGGGGTTACGGTAGAAGTCAGACAGGTAGTAGGACTCCCATATTCAAATCCAGGTTTGCCTGACTAAAACTCAGGTTTCTTTTTTTTTTAGTAAATTCTATTGCCTCAGAAATGTGATGATTTGGCAGTTGATTTCATTAATATTATTAGGCTTTCATTTTAAATGTTTTTAGGAAACACAGGTATTTCAATTTTATAATTGTTTTTTTATATAATCTTAGGGATAATTTTAATGATCTTAAATTTATACATTAAATGATGATTAAGATCATTAAATGTCATTATCATTAGATGTAGCATATATAACAAACATTTAAAGCTATACTTTGATCTTATTTTTAGAATGAATTTACTATATATTTGTGACAGTTACTTTGCCTTCTTAACATTCTGTTAAAATGTGTTACTTCTATAATCTTAATCTGAAAACTTTTTTTTTTTTTTTTTTGAGATGGAGTTTCGCTCTTTTTACCCAGGCTGGAGTGCAATGGCGCGATCTCGACTCACCGCAACCTCCGCCTCCTGGGTTCAGGCAATTCTCCTGTCTCAGCCTCCTGAGTAGCTGGGATTACAGGCACGCACAACGATGCCCAGCTAATTTTTTGTATTTTTAGTAGAGACGGGGTTTCACCTTGTTGACCAGGATGGTCTCGATCTCTTGACCTCGTGATCCACCCGCCTCGACCTCCCAAAGTGCTGGCATTACAGGCTTGAGCCACCGCGCCTGGCTGAAAACTTTTAAGTCTTTTATTATTATTATTTTTTTAATGCAACAGGGTCTCACTCTGTCACACAGCCTGGAGTGCAATGATACAGTCATCACTCACTGCAATCTCGAGTTTCTGGGCTCAAGGGATCCTCCTGCCTCAGCCTCCCAAGTAGCTGACACCATAGGCACATGCCCCTGCACCTGGCTAATATTTTTTTTCTTTTTTGTGGAGATGGGATCTTGCTCTGTTGCCCAAGCTGATCTTAAACTCCTGGACTCAATTGTTCTTGCCACCTCAGCCTCCCAAAGTATTGCAATTATAGGCAGTAGCCACTGCACCCGGCCTGAAAAATTCAATCCAACAAAACAGACAATTCTGAGGCTCATTTTTATCAATCATAATAATTTCAAAACTTGTATGTTTTGAACCTTACAACTGATGAATTACTATTTTAGTTATAAAGGCACCTACATAGCAGTTTATGTAAAGATCTTCACTTTTTTTTTTTTTTTTTTTTTTCCAGAAAACTTAAGATAATTTTTTCCTTTAACCTTTAAGGTCAGCAAAGGAGGCAGAAGACAAAATTAAAAAGGCAATAGAGAAGGGAGAAACTCTTCCTACAGAGGCCAGATTTGATTCCAACTGTATCACACCAGGTAAATTCACTGAGAGAAAAATTATGACAGAATTGAAATATAAATTGAAAACTTGGTTTTTACATGTGTTTTTCTTTTCTGTGCTCGGTTTATTTTGGCCTTAAGGTTCCAGTTACTCTATTTTCCCGCTTAGGTCCGCTTATGAGTTGGTTTGGTCACCTTGGTCATAAATACTCCTACAAAGACTGTAGGGATTTTCAGATGTAGATAAATTAGAGCAGATATGCAAGGAACCTCTCAGGTATGCAGAGTTGCAGAACTAAAAGAAACTTATGCCTATATATCTTGCTGTCCTACTCCTGCTGTTTATTTATGTTAAAACAGACTCAGTGAGGTTGATGAGTCTTCCTATCAGCCTCAAGTTGATGTAGCTAGCTTGTGATATTGAGAGTAAGAAACTCATTCTCCTAGTGCAGAGCACTTACTACTCGGCTTCTCAAAAGCAGTTAAGATTTTTATGACTTTAAGGAAATGAATGTATCAGTATTGTGTTTAATTTTGTATGCAGCAGCATAGTCTATACTTTTACAACCTTTGTCTAGCATCATTATAATCCTTTTCTTTGATTGAAAATCTTATAACTTTCTCATCAGTTCTTTACTAACAACAGTAATTTGCCCTTTCTTTAAGTGCATTGTTTATACATTGCTCAGTTTAACAACCAGTTTTATCCTGATTGTGGTTTTAGACTGTATCACTTTTTACTATTGACTATCTGGGCCTTTCCCAAAATGTAATCATTGTAGACTGAGGTTCCAAATTAATAATAAGTTTTCAGAATAGTAATTTCAGTAGTAATAATGGTTATTATTTATTATTATTGACAATCTGATTTAAGTTACGAACCTTAAAAAAAAAAACTTAAGAATCAGCAGAAGAAATAGAAGGTGGAGGTTCATTAGAGAGTTCAAATTTGTTCTTATATGAAAATTCCTGAAGCACAGTCCTGAGATGCTAGTAAAATTCCTTGACTTTCCTTATGTGACACTGATTTTATATAGGGGGACTAGAGACATTAGAAATAGTTGTAATATTTACGAAGGAAAGGTCCAACATTACTTGTTTTTCAGAATAAGCCAGAGGGCTTTTGACCTTTGGAGATCCTATACCTACCTAGCTATTCGCTGTGCACTCAGATTCATTCATGTGTCGTCACTGAGAACTTACTGTTTTTATGTCTTTCTCAGATTAATCTTTTTAAAACTTACTATTTTTAGGAACTGAATTTATGGCCAGGTTGCATGAACATCTGAAGTATTTTGTAAATATGAAAATTTCCACGGACAAGTCATGGCAAGGAGTTACCATCTACTTCTCGGGCCATGAGGTTATTATCTTTTTTTAGTTAAAGAGTTTAAAAATATTATTTAATACTCTCAAGCATACAATATTACTGTACTTTTAAAAACATTTTATTTAGACTCCCGGAGAAGGAGAGCATAAAATTATGGAATTTATCAGATCCGAGAAGGCAAAGCCAGATCACGATCCAAACACCAGACACTGTCTTTATGGTTTAGATGCTGACTTGGTAGGTATAATATTTATTATTAAAACCTTATGCATTGGTAGGTAAATATCTAAGAGATCTCATTTGATACAGGAAACTTACTGGCTGTGGCAACAAATATTGGAGACATAATGATTGCTGCCTCTATCGTTACCAAAGTTCTAAAAATCATTGGGAAATGAGCTTTTTAGCCATAGTTTATGACCAACAAGTCTCTATAATTAGTCTATAGATGTGACTAATCCTAGTGCTGTGAATACTCTGCCAAGGTCAGAGAAGTGAGGCTGCCTTTTTACACTCAGACTTAATACAAGGCGCTTAATACCTCCTGATCTGAAAATGCCATGCTCCAAACACCTTTACTAGACTATTTTGGCCTTAACTTTTTATTATGGAAATTTTCAAGCATAAACAAAAGTAGAAAAGGTAATATAATGAACATCCTATGCCCTTCATTTAACTTAAATAATTCTAAATTTCTACCTGTAATTATCTGTCTCCTCTCTCTCCTACCCGCCCCCTCCCCCAGATTATTAAAGCAAATCCCAAACATTGTATCATTTAATTTGTATATATTTCATAATATTTCTCTAAAAGATTTGAGTGTTTTTTTAGAAAGATACATAACTACAATGCCATCATCTCACTTAAAACAGAAATTAACAACTTTTTCTTAATATAGAAATAACAGTATTATCATTTTCCTGATTGCCTCACAAACGTTTCAATTTTTTTTATTGTTTGAATCAAGATTGAAATAAACAGTATGCAGATACATGGCGTTTGATTGATAGGTCTCAATAGACCAGGCGTCCCCAAACTACGGCCCCACGGGCCGCATGCGACCCCCTGAGGCCATTTATCCGGCCCCCCTGCCGCACTTCAGGAAGGGGCACCTCTTTCGTTGGTGGTCAGTGAGAGGAGCACAGTATGTGGCGGCCCTCCAACGATCTGAGGGACAGTGAACTGGCCCCCTGTGTAAAAAGTTTGGGGATGCCTGCAATAGACTGTTGACTTACTTTGAGTATTAAAATACTACGTGAGACACCAGGCACAGTGGCTCATGCCTGTAATCCCAGCTCTTTGGGAGGTTGAGGTGGCCGGATGATCTAAGGTCAGGAGCTCAAGACCAGCTTGGCCAAAATGGTGAAACCCCGTCTCTACTAAAAAATACAAAAATTAGCCAGGCATGTTGCGGGACACCTGTAATCCCAGCTACTCAGGAGGCTGAGGCAGGAGAATTACTTGAACTTGGGGGAAGGAGGTTGCAGTGAGCTGAGATTGCACCACTATACTCCAGCCTGGGTGACAGAGGGAGACTCCATCTGAAAAAAAAGAAGGGAATACTGTTTGAGAAAATTAACTGAAAGTGCCCTTTTCCATTTTTTTCTGAGTTTTCATATAGTGGGGCTGTCCTGGTATCCAAAAGAGTCCTGCATTCTTTGGTCACGGAAAAGCTGCTTCCTCTAATTTCTAACCCATTACCCCACAGCAAGTAGAATTATGTGAAAACCAAGAGAAGATTTTTGGGATTTGAGGGAATAGGAAGAGGAGTGGAGCTGGGAGATAGGATAATGATTATGAAAAGCATGTGAGCTAAGGTGAATAAATTTTTCTTAGAAAAGTACGCTTTATTTTATTCATAACCTCAAATAGATCATATTTTCATACTTGTCTGTTTAACCTAATTCTTTCTTATTTTTCCCTGTATAAAAATGTTTTTTAATTGCTTTTGTGAACTCAATGTTATAAAAAATGGGAGAGCAGAAACATTTCTTAATCATTTTTCAACAGATTATGCTTGGATTAACAAGTCATGAGGCACATTTTTCTCTCTTAAGAGAAGAAGTTCGATTTGGTGGCAAAAAAACACAAAGGTAAATCATATAGCATATATGTTGGAAGAAAGAACAGAAACTACACATGGATAGTAATTCTTTGACAGATAACGTGATTTGTAAATACCTTCTCTTATTTCATACATCGCCTTTTCATGATGTCTTTTCGTGATAGTGTCCTTCGATGTATGAAAGTTTTTAACTTTGTTATAGTCCAAGTAATCTATTTTTTAAAACAGTTTTAAAGTTTTAACTTTTGTGGTTAGATCTTTGATTCATTTTGAGTTAATTTTAGTGTGTGATGTAACGTAAGGGTTCAACTTCATTCTTTTGCATGTGGATATTTGCAACTGTATTTTTATCTTTGTTACCCTGAAACTTTCATATAAATTGTATGCCTTAATTGCAAGGCATTTATCTGACTATCTTCTAATGATAATTTTGGCTTAAGCTTTGTTACATTTTTTAAGCTGAGACCTTAAAAATACAATTCACTGTATCTTCATCATCTGATTAATTACAGGGTATGTGCTCCAGAAGAAACCACATTTCACCTCCTACACTTGTCTTTAATGAGAGAGTATATTGACTATGAGTTTTCAGTATTAAAAGTAAGTATTAATAAAGCCATGAACCAGGGATTTCCATTGCAGAAATTTTCACTGTATTTGACTTTGTTCTCCATTTTACTGTAGGAAAAGATCCCATTTAAATATGATATTGAAAGGATAATAGATGATTGGATTTTGATGGGGTTTCTTGTTGGTAATGATTTTATCCCTCATCTACCTCATTTACATATTAATCATGATGCACTGCCTCTTCTTTATGGAACATATATTACCATCCTGCCAGAACTTGGGGGTAAGAAAAATTTAATAATCACTCAAGGATACTTTAATTTAGTGCCACCTTACCCTAAAAATGTGACTTAGTTTAGTAGATTATTGCATGCACAGCTTAAGTAGAAAAACATTGAGGATTTATTTTGGTCTAAGGTGCTAACCTCCGAGGTTGTTATTTTCAGTGATTCACAAGGAAAGAAAGTACACAGAGTTAATGAAACTTACTTACTGATACCTAACTAATCTTTGCCTTTATTTTTTATTTACTTTTTTTTTTTGAGACAAGGTCTCACTGTCGCCCAGGCTGGAATGCCTTGGCGACAGTGCAGCCTCTGCCTCCTGAGTTCAAGCTATTCCTGTGCCTCAGCCTCCTGAGTAGCTGGAATTACAGGCGTGTGCCGCCACACCCAGCTAAGTTCTGTATTTTTAGTGGAGATGGGGTTTTACTATATTGACCAGGCTGGTCTCATCTGGCCTCAAGTGATTCCTGTACCTCAGCTTCCCAAAGTGATGGGATTATAGGCATGAACCACCATACACAGCCTAATATTTGCCTTTAATTCCTTAAGAAAGCCACCATACTGTATTGGTTTCACTTAACTCCTTTCATATTTAAGCATAGAAATTCAATTTTTTTTAACGGCTATGCATCAGAATGTTTAATATGAAGTATTTTTCAATGAAAACAGAAAATTGACATAGTGAAGCTGAATAAAACAGGCCACAGGGTAGCAGGCCATCAGTCCTTAAATTAACATATCAAATTGAATGATCTATATAGATTATAGATCATATTTAATGTAATTAATTGTTACCAAATGTTGTTGGAGATTATTATGTGAACCTTGAATTTCTTATACTTGGTTTTGGTACTTGCATGTTGCATATTATAGTAGCATAAAATTCACAGAAACTAGGGCCAGTTTGTATATAGTCCAACACTGTTTTTTCTTGATTACTACAGTAGAACGTGAACATTCAACATTTTGTCAAAACAATTTTGTAGAATTGTTTAGAAAAAAATATCAGCTTTTAGTACAGATTTTAATTTTTGTTTCTCTTAGGTTATATTAATGAAAGTGGGCATCTCAACTTACCTAGATTTGAGAAATACCTTGTGAAGCTATCAGATGTAAGTAACTAGAAATTTTTGTTTTCCTGTCCCAGAGTAGCTCTGAAAGTTCAGTCATGAATTATGTAATACCAGAAGAAAAGAGTTATAATTCTCTTCCAGTTGCTGATTCAGTATGAATACTTTTACTAAATTAATTTTATTTTTATTTGTTTTCTGTTTGTATTTTCAGAGTAACACATGAGGTCCCCCATAGATATAAAAGAATTTCCTATGCCCCAGTAGTAGTCACTGTTATAAGTTTGATGTGTATTCTTTTAGATATACTTAAATTATTTTTGAATAAATTTAAATATTTCTGTACAGTTTGATCGGGAGCACTTCAGTGAAGTTTTTGTGGACCTAAAATGGTTTGAAAGCAAAGTTGGTAACAAGTACCTCAATGAAGCAGCAGGTGTGGCAGCAGAAGAAGCCAGGAACTACAAGGAAAAGAAAAAATTAAAGGTGTCTATTTTTTTAGGTATCCTTTCATTGTTTTAATTGTAAAGGCAAAAGTGATATTCTTTGTTTCTCATCTTCCTTCTTATGATTTGGGATTGCCTCATTTTATTTCTCTTTCTTCCTCTCTACAGGCATTTAAGAAATTGGTTTGGTTTCTTTTTTTTGTTAGCTTCTGTCATTAAACCACATTTTCAGTAATCAGTTTCTTACTTTTACTGTTGAAGAGGAACATTGTGTTTTATGTTAATAAATGTGGAAAACATTTCTAAACATAAAAGCCCAGAAAATGAATTATCTTTTAAAAACAATTATTTAAAACATTTTAAAAACAATTATTTAAGGCCAGGTGCAGTGGCTCACACCTGTAATCCCAGCACCTTGGGAGGCGAAGGTGGGTGGATTATCTGAGGTCAGGAGTTTGAGACCAGCCTGGTCAGCATCTCTACTACTACTTCTCAACGTTGAAACTCCCATCTCTACTAAAAATATAAAAATTAGCTGGGTGTAGTGGCACACACACCTGTAATCCCAGCTGCTTCGGGGGCTGAGGCACAAAAATCGCTTGAAACCAGGAGACAGAAGTTGCAGTGAGCCAAGATTGGGCTACTGCACTCCATCTTGGGTGATAGAGTGAGACTCTGTCTCAAAAAAAAAAAAAAAAGGGCCAGGCGCGGTGGCTCAAACCTGTAATCCCAGCACTTTGGGAGGCCTAGGCGGGCAGATCACGAGGTCAAGAGATCGAGACCATCCTGGCCAACATGGTGAAACCCCCATCTCTACTAAAAATGCAAAAATTAGCTGGGTGTGGTGGTGTGCACCTGTAGTTCCAGCTACTCGGGAGTTTGAGGCAGGAGAATTGCTTGAACCCGGGAGGCAGAGTTTGCAGTGAGCCAAGATTGTGCCACTGCACTCCAGCTTGGCGCCTGGAGCGAGACTTTTCCGTTGTACTATGGATGTGCTGATGTCCTGAGATTTCACCAAGTGTGGGAAACTCAACTGCATGATTTGTGGTAGTGGAGGACTGCATTCATGCTTTCCCCTGGCAATGTTTTTTAATTTAAAAAAAAAAAAAAGTTATTTTAAAACAGTGGAGTAGTTTTTAAAATGTGGATATTTATAGCCTTTAATGATATGAGACATTAACTAGATCAGTGATTTTTTTTTCTCTAGAAATGATTTACATATAAAATACAGTAATTTAAGTTAATAGCAATGGCAAAAACCACAGTTACTTTTGCACCAACCTAATAGCACAATATCTGGTAAATGTTACATACCTAATTAATGAATAATAGAATCAACTAGAATGTGTTAGTGCCCTGCAAAGCATCTCTAATAATCTCCAAAGAATATCTTGTGTTAACTTAAAAGGTAAACCTCTTGTGAAAAATTCCTCAGCCTCTTCATAATTATTGGATTCTATTGAGTTTCTTACTCTCCTTGCTGTACTGGTTCTATTTAGGTTCAAACTTAATGACTCTTGCTCCAGGAGGGGCAGCTATCCTTATTTTCTCTAGTGTAGTCCTTCTTGATACTTAGCTCTTCCTCACTGGAACTTGGCAGCAGTCAGTCTGCATTCTACTGTTTTGTTGTTGTTTGTTTGTTTGTTTCTAGAACAGGCTCTGCAATTTTTTGGGAACCTGTACACACAAAACTTACCTGTCAGTAATTCCTGGCTCCCCTGGTAGTTTTCAGGATAGTATGCAGCTAACATTAGAGACACTATGCAGGAATAGCCCAGACACAGGAAGTTGGTAGAGGCCATAGGTTGGATGAAGGAAACTAAATGGGGGGTTAAGGCAGTAGGAAGAACTAATGAGAGTCATTGGCAGTAGACAGGAAGTCAGAGAATAGAGGAGAGAAAGGATTGAGATCACAAGGGAGGAAAAACAGATGGGCAGGATCTGAAGGATGTTATAACCATGGAAGAACTATGGGAAGAAAAGCAAAGGGTACATGAAAAAGAAATGACATCTCACTTTGAAATGTGTATCTTAACCATTCATTTATGTTGATTTATAATTTATAGGGCCAGGAAAATTCTCTGTGTTGGGCTGCTTTAGACAAAAATGAAGGCGAAATGGTAACTTCTAAGGGTAAGTACAAAGTATATGTTTTGATATGTTACTACTTTGACAGGATAATGTTATACTTTTCCTTTATTAGTATTAATTTTGGGTGGAACAGATTTTTGTGATAGCTTATAAGCGTCAACTTGGATATGCATTTATCAAATCATTAAGTGGAAAAACAGGATATTCATAATTGTCAGTCACTATCTTTCTGGCTTTTTTCCCAGATAATGTAGAAGATGAGACTGAAGATGATGACCTATTTGAAACTGAGTTTAGACAATATAAGAGAACATATTACATGACGAAGATGGGGGTTGATGTAGTATCTGAGTACGTTTTTGCCAATGCTTTTATTTTAAAATAGAAAAATTCAGATTTTGCAGTTCTTCAGAAAACAGCATAATTTTGAGAAAGCAGTGGGAGAAAAAGGATTTTTTGGTTTCATGAATTATTGTAGATGTTTCAACTAGTCTGGTTTTGGAAAAGATGGCATTAATTCTGACTTGTATTATATTCCTGTGAAAAAATTACTAAAGAGAAAATGATCCTTATTTATAAGGAAGTTTGTTACAAAGTTGTTTATAATAGTAAAAAATTATAAATGATCCAAATGTCCAGTAAGAAGGTTCGTCATAATTGGCCACGACCCCATCATTGCAGTCACTATCTCTGTCACCTCTTCCATCTCCAGAATTTGCAGAACTGTATCTGGTACTTGCAGAAAGTTCATAACAATTTCGAAAGATGCTTATAGTATATTATTAAGTACAAATTGTAAAGGCAGGACATAAAATCATGTATACAGTATGCTCTCATTAACACTTAAAAAAACCTAGATATAGAAGAAAGACTGAAAGAAACACTACAAAATGTAAAAGTGATGGCTATAAGGTGACAAAAATGCTTTTCTTCATTACCCAGGTTTTTACCCATGAGGAAATAGTTCTTTTATAATAAAAAAGCAATATTTTTTATGTTAAAAAAATACATAGTTACGGAATTTCTGTGTAAATACTTTGGCCTTTAGCCCAGGGCTCTGTTTTGGTTTTTGGTGATTTGAAGATTTATTTTACCCAAACTTAGAAGATGTCATTTGGTTTTTGACAAAGAAAGGATTCGAGGGAATATTGTTCACATATAGCACTTTTCAAAGTGTTCTCGCTGCTGGAACCAAATTTTAAGATCTTCCTGATTTGCTTCTTTGTTTCTCTAAGATATCATCCTATGTAAAGAAGATTCCCATCCCTTTCTCTCATCTCACCCCCACTGTTTAAGAGAGTGGTGGTCTTACTATGGAAAGCTTTATTGGGTAAATCTTCAAACTTTGGACCAAAGAAGTGGTACATTAGCTGAATAAATATGAATAACAGGTTTATGTATTTGGATAGTTGGTTTAGGAAAACTATAATGTGACAGGATGGAATTTTTGAGAATATTTTGGAGTTTTTAGGATTATAATTTTTAGCTATAAATAGCTAATTCATTGATTAAACTATCTGAGGTAAAGTGTTGTATCAGCAGATATCATGCTTAAAGACACTGGCCTGTCTTGAAAAAATATGTTATAATGAAAATATTCTATTTTCAGTGACTTTCTGGCTGATCAAGCTGCATGTTATGTTCAGGCAATACAGTGGATTTTGCACTATTACTATCATGGAGTTCAGTCCTGGAGCTGGTGAGAGAATAAAAACAAAAATAGTTTTGTCTTTTCATAATGATTCATTCTACTAGAGTCTTATTTAGGGAGCACTTCCTTTTATTTCTACTTATAATTTTTTTTTTTTTTTTTTTTTTTGAGATCGAGTCTCACTCTGTTGCCCAGGCTGCAGTGCAGTGGCATGATCTTGGCTCACTGCAGTCACTGCCTCCTGGGTTCAAGCAATTCTTCTGCCTCGGCCTCCTGAGTAGCTGGGATTATAGGCTTGTACCCCTATGGCTGGCTAATTTGTGTATTTTTAGTAGAGATGGGGTTTCGCCATGTTGGCCAGGCTTGTCTTGAACTTCTGACCTCAGGTGATCGCCCGTGTCAGCCTCCCAAAGTGCTAGGATTACAGGTGTGAGCCACTGTGCCTGCCTCTGCTTATGGTAAGTTTTTTCAAGTACCATACAACCAAGTTTAAATGAAATATAGGTAATCTCTTCTCCAGCCCTAGCAGGTGGCTCATAATAAGAGGTCTTGGTTAATATAATGATTTAATGTTCTCTATCAAGGTTAATCAAGTGTTACAAAGTCTTGATAATTATTGGGTTTGAGTGATGGTTATATGAGGGTATTCATTATATTCTCTTTACATTTTGTGTTTGCTAAAAAATTCTCTATCAAGAATAATTATTGAAGTGGCCGGGTGCAGTGGCTCACACCTGTAATCCCAGCACTTCGGGAGGCCAAAGTGGGCAGATCACTTGAGGTCAGGAGTTTGAGACCAGCCTGGACAACATGGTGAAACCCCATCTTTACTAAAAATACAAAAATTAACTGAGCATGGTGGTGTGTCTCTGTAGTCCCAGCTACTTGGGAGGCTGAGGCAGGAGAATCACTTGAACCTGGGAGGTGGAGGCTGCAGTGAGCTGAGCCAAGATTGCACCACTGCACTCCAGCCTGTGCAACAGAGCAAGACTCTGTCTCTCGCTCAAAAAAAAAAAGAAAAGAAAAGAAAAAAAAAGAAGAAGAAAGAAGAATGGGCTTATTTGTATGATGGGCTAGAAAGGTGAAGAAGAAAAAAGAAGAGTTATTTTCTTTCTTTCTTTCTTTCTTTTTTCTTTCTTCTTTCTTTTTTTTTCCTTTTCTCTTTCCTTTCTTCCTTCTTTTCTTTTCCCCTCCCCTCCCCTCCACTCCCCTCCCCTCCTCCCTCCCCTCCCCTTCCCTTCCCTTGTTTGTCTGTCTGTCTCACTCTGTCACCCATGCTAGGGTGCACTGGTACAGTCTTTACTCACTGCTGCAACCTCCCCTTCCTGAGTTCAAGTGATTATCGTGCTTCAGCCTCCTGATTATTTGCTTTTAATGGAAATATTAATAATTTTATTTATCTCGGATTCGTATTCTAGCAAATCCTGTCTGCATTTTCAAACCATCCACCAAAGTAGGAAAATTAAAAGCCAAAAAATGATACAGTGAATACTAGAGACTTTTAGATGATAACACAACTCTGTTTGATTTGGTTTTGTTCAGAACACCTCTGCTGGGCTCTGTTTCAGAGTGCCATCCAGCAATACAAACCAATGCAAAATAATGTGACATCAATTATCTTTGAAAAAAGTTTTATAATCACCTGGTTCTCAGAGCCTCTCTGAGGAGCAATCTCATGAAGAAAATCCTTGATTTGCCATTTTTAAAATAGAGTGAATGTAAATTATTTGTGTTGTAACTTACATTAAGGCCAAGCACATAAAAAGCATGCTCTCATATAATCTTCACAACTATTTAAAAGTAAACATTGTTTTCTCCCTTTTACAGATGAAGAAATTGAGGCTCTGAAAGGTTAAGAAAGATTAGGTAATCTTTCTAAAGATTATACACCCAAGCAAGAGTGAAGTCAAAGCCTATCTTATTCCAAAGTCTATACGTTTTCTATTCCACATGGCATTTGGCCTCCTAAACTTCCTCATTTTTTGGAAATGCATGCCATAATTATGAAATACAAAAACATCTCCATTTTTTTTGGTATCCTGAGTCAAACATTAGGAGCATACTGAAATTTTTGAAAATTGTTGTTCAAAGCATTGTAAAATATTTATGCCTGTAACTAAAATGAAAAGGTAATAAAAACAAAAACATAGTATATCTGATTGATAACACGGCTTCATCCTTAACACAAATAAAAAATAAGCATACTAATTCAAAGATTAACGTTCTTAGATCTGACTGGTAATAGCTAGATAAGCTCAGACTCACTTTTCTTCCTCTCCTTGTTAAGCTTTTACCAGAACGTTCAACTGTTCCCAGCCTCTTGCTTAAATGATCCATGCTCAAGTGACCAAACTGAAAGTCTTCTGACTACCTTATTTCTGGTTCAATTTCTTGATTGGAAGATTCACAATCAACATTTTGAAAATTAAAAGAAACATTACATTATATGTGTTTTTCAATTACTGATTCATTCCAATTTCAGAAATGTGAAACCACACTTTAAAAATTCAGGAAATAAAACATTTGTTGCCATTGGATGACCTATATTTTCCATCAGTGCTTGTTTCTTATATTCAAATGGTAGAATTATGGGTGGTACTAATTTTTAAAAATTATTTTTATGTGTTACGAAAAATAAAATATGGGGAAAAGTATATGCTTAGTATTAACCTATTTCATAAAGATGCCAGTTGTTTAAAACTCAGTTTTGTTTTATAGGTACTATCCTTACCATTATGCACCTTTTCTATCTGATATACGCAACATCAGTACACTCAGAATCCATTTTGAACTAGGAAAACCTTTTAAGCCTTTTGAACAGCTTCTTGCTGTACTTCCAGCAGCTAGCAAAAATTTACTTCCTACATGCTACCAGGTGGGTTTTAGAATTGAATGTTTTTATGTCCTTTTTGATATTTAGGAGCTCTTCCTCCAAACCTAGAAACAGTAATACTCAAATTTATTTGGTAGCTGAATATTTATTTTCAGTTTAAAACCATAACATTTCTTTAACAAGTCCCTTCAAAAGTGATTCCTTGATTTAAAGTTAGCTTTGTTTTAAAGATACAAATAAATTTCATAAACCATTCAGAGCCTGGTTTCATTTTCAGCACCTTTAAACACGTTTTCAATTTGTCCTCACGCTGAAGAAAGTAGACTATAACACAGACAAAATCTGATGCTATCTACTTTGTCCAAAACTTACAGATTCATTCCTCTTTCCTTTACTCTCTACCTTTTGGAATAGGGATGGTTCTAATAAGTCTTTTATCCCAACAGTAGTACTACCTCCGTGTATATTTATTTTTAAACATTTATCAAATTGTGAAATAAAAAGCTTTCTTTGGTAAACATATTTCATGTAACAGGAGGAAAATATTTCAGGGGTGATAAGGTTACCAAAATTACACTAAGCTTACTAAAGTGATTCTGAAGTTACACTTTATATCGTTTTTTTGAGGGTAACAATCTATTCTTTTAATTCCATGGTTTGGTCAGGAATTGGAGTAGACACACACACACACCCTTTACTTCTTTAGCAGTGTCAGACTCCCTTCTGCATCTTTTTGAACCTTAGCCTCTCCTTGATCCTGGCTTCCCCTTCTTCATAAGTTTCTTTGATTCTTTTTTCTCTGCTTTCAGATACAGTATGCTTTAATACTTAACCACTCTGGACTAGCATGACCATGCAAGTGTATAGTGTGTTTTATTGCACAGTGCCCATGCCATACTGGTTATTTTAAATATTTTGAGTATTACTCTAAGAATACACTGCGTTATTTCCTTATGCTTTATTTGCCTACCTCTGTTACAAAGTCATAGAAACGTGTTATTGACTATTTCTCTTTGATAGTGGTGTAGTAGTTCTTGGGTTTTAGGATATTTTTCTTTTTAAACTATCTTGGGTGACAGTTGATATCTTACTTAATAGATTCAATTTATCAGGATATGAAAGTAAATTGTTAATTACAGGCTAAAAATAGAGGACTACTAGAAGCCTTTTAGATGACCTGAAATGAAGTCTGACTAGAAAAACAGTTTAGTTATATGTCTTGTAGATTGAAAAAACAATGAAAAATTTAAAATGGATTTTGAGAGGATGATTTTGCTGCATAACTCAGTAAAGTATATAATTGATGAGTGGCAGGGAAATTAGAATTCTTGTAGCTGAAAATCAAAACATAGCAAGTATATTGTGACTTATCTAAGATATAAAAAATTAATTTGCTTTGCTTAGAAATTTTAAACTAACATGAGGAAATACAAATACATTAACAGAAAGCTATATTGATAATAGTTCTTATATTTCTATTATACTATTTTATATTTTCACAGCATTTGATGACCAGTGAAGACTCACCAATTATAGAATATTACCCACCTGATTTTAAAACTGACCTAAATGGGAAACAACAGGAATGGGAAGCTGTGGTATTAATCCCTTTTATTGATGAGGTTGGTGTATAAAGTAATCATTATATACATATACATTCTTAATCAGATTATTTCACATAAGTTCATGAGCAATGAGTTTTAATCACGATTTATGTTTTGTTAATGAAATTTAGCTACCCTCTTCATTATGTGCATAAAAGCTTGTAGGTATGCTAATTATAATAAGGCTAAAATGGCTTTACTATTATTAAACAAAGTAGTCTTCAGAACAAGAAGTATCATTACCAGAGATAAAGAGATATTTTATACAGATAAAAGAGTCAGTTCAGTTCAAGGAGACATAAAAATCCTAAATATATTGCACCTAATAAAACAGCCTAAAATACATAAAGCAAAAATTATCAGAATTATAGCTGGAAATTTCAACCTTTTGCACAAGAGGACAAAAAACCAGTAAGGATAAAGAAGATTTGAATAATGCTATAAACCTACTCACAGAATTATAAATCGTATCAAAGATCTGGGAACTCCTTATATGTTTGAGAATAAATAGCACACTTTTAAACAACTTGTGATGAAAGAAGAAATTAAAAGAGAAATTAGAAAATATTTTGATCTGAATGATAATTAAAATACAGTATATCATAATTGGGGCTGAGTGTGGTGGCACACAGCTGTAATCCCAACACTTTGAGAGGTCAGAATAGGAGGAATGTTTTTTTTTCCTCAGGAAAGAAAAAAAAGGATCTGTGGTCAGTATGATATGACTGAAGCAGGGCTTAAAAGGATATTTAAGGTTCTAGATTATGCTAAACAAGAAAAAGATTTAAAATAAATTACCTAAGCTTCTGCCTTAAGAAGATAGAAAAAGAAGAGCCAATTAAACCCAAATTAAGCAGAATAAAGGAAATACAATAAAAGGAGCAGAAATCTACAGAAAATGAACAAACAATGAAGAAAAATTAATGACATCAAAAGTTGGTTCTTTGAAAAGATTAATAAAGTCAGTAAATCCTACCTAGACTGATCAAGAAAGTTAAATAAAAGGGGAGGGAGGCAGCATAAATTACCAATATTAGGAATGAAAGAGGAGATACTTTATAAATCCTACATATAGTAAAGGGCAGTTAAGGAATGTGATCAAACTTTATGTCAACAAATTCAACAGCCTAGATGAAGTGAACATATTTCATCACAACTTAGCAAAACTCACAGAATATAAAAATCTGATAGTCTTATATCTTCTAGCCCACGTGTCTTCGCTTGTGAATTCTAGCAAACATTTAAAAGAAATAATGCCGATCTTAACACAAACTTTCAGAAAAGAGGGGACATTCTTCCCAACGTTTTATTAGACTAGCTTATTCCAGATACCCAAATTAGATGTGGCATTAAAAGAAATGAAAATATTTGCATCCCCTAAAAGTAGATGCAAAAACTCCTAAGACAATAACATGAGATCAAATCTGGCAGCATGTAAGAAGGATAATAGTCATGACCAAATGGGATTTATTTTAGAAATAGAAAGTTAGTTTGCAATGTGATTTTCCACATGATCAATATTCAACATCCAAGTTTTTTTTTTCACCTTCCACTGTCTGACTAAGAATGTTTTTTTATCAACATCCAATTTTAATAAAAATGTTCAACAAACAGGGATAACAGGAGACTTCCTCAACCTTGTGATAAAGGCATATAAAATATCTTACTGCAAACAACATACTTAATAGTAAAAGAAAGACCATTTTTCTGTAAAGTCAAGAATAGGACAAGATATTCATTCTAAGCCCTTCTTTCTAACCTTTTACTAGAAGTCCAGTGTGTTAAGATGAACAAAATAAGTAAAATCGTTTTTATTTGCAGATGGCATTATTATCCGTGTGAAAATTCTAAAGAATCCTCAAAAGAGAAACTGTAATAAGTAACTTTAGCAAAGTTACAGAGTATAAGATCTGTACAAAAACTAATTCTTTTTCCATATACTAGCAGCAAACCAATTGAAAATTCAAAATGTTTAAGAGGCTTAAAGATTCTGCTTAAGATAGCATTTCAAAATATAAAATACACAGCTATAAACTTAACAACATATGTGCAAGCCCTCTACCCTAAAAAGTCTAAAGTATTGAGAGATGGAAAACCTAAATAAATGAAGGGATTATATCATGTTCATGGATTTGAAGACAACATTGTTAAGGTGTACATTCTTCTCAGTTTGATCTTTACACTCAATCCCAGTGAAAATCCCTGGCAAGTTTTATGTAATTGAAAATACGATTCTAAAGTTTTTATAAGATTACAAGGAGGATAGCCAAAACAATCCATATAAAGAACAATGTTGGAGGATTTACATTACCTGCTTTCCAGACTTGCCATGAAGCCACATTAATGAAGACAGTGTATTATTGGTATAGCAATAAGCAAATAGATAAATTGGAGCGAAAAGAGTCTGCCCAAATACATGTTTATGGAGTTAATTCATCTTCATTTAAGGCACCAAAGCATTCAGTGAGTAAAGAAAGTGCTTTTCAAAAGCTGGTGCTGGAACAACTGACTATCTCTGTGAAAAAAAGTGAATCTTGACCCATACCTCACACCATATACAAAACTTAATTCAAAATGTTATAAATGTATTAATAAAAGCTAAAACAATAAAACTTCTTGAAGCAAATTTAGAAGAAAATTTTGATCAAGACTCTGAAATCACTAACCATAAAAGAAAAGAATTGAGACTATAGATTTCACCAAAATCAAAAAAATTTCCACTTACCAAAAGATGCTATTAAAAAAAGAATAGATAAGCCACAGACTAGGAGAAAAAATATTTTGCAGAACATTCATGTGCATGGGACTGGTATCCAGAGTATATAACCAACACCTACAATTCAAGCTAAAGGCACAGAACCCAGTTTTTTAGATGGGGAAAAAATATTTTTGAAGGGCCATTTCACAAAGCAAGATATACAAATAATAAGCAATGGAAAAGTGCCCAACATCATTAGCCAACAGGTAAATGTAAATTAAAAACACGATAAGATACCTCTATACTATAATCCCAGTGGAATGGAAAAAACTTAAAAGGCATACCCAATATTAGCAAGACTGGAGCGATTGGAATTTTTATACACTGATACTGGGAGTATAAAATAGATAGAAGCACTTTTCATATCTATCTGGCAGTTTCTCATAAAGTAAATTACACGCCTACCCTAGGACCCCGCAATTCTATTCTTAGATATTTACCAAAAGGAAGGGCAAGTAGGTTTAAAAAGTGTTTTGTACAAGACTGTTCATAATAACTAAACTGAAGACCATCCAATACCAGTCAACAGGACAATAGATAAGTAAATTGTGGTGCACATTAAGCATCCCTAATCTGAAAATCAGAAATTTGAAATGCTCCAAAATTAGAAACTTTTAGCATCAGCCTGATGCCACAAATAGAAAATCTACATCTGGCATCACGGGATGAGTTGCAGTCAAAATGCAGGTGCACAACACACAGTTTATTTGCATCTCAAGGGACAGAAGACCCTCCCAGCCCTCTTCAACTGCAGTATACCTTTTTGGCATACACCCAGATTCCCCACCCAAGCACATCCACAGAGGGTAATAAAATGGCACACATGTAGGCCAGACGTACCAATGTGCAGGTTCCCCACAATGCCCCAAATGGGACCCAGGCCTGTGTGAATTACTCACTGTGTTATTTTGCTTATTCTTTGTTCTGGTGTGAAGATAGTGTTGAAAATGTCAAAAAGGACTGCAGCTACCCCTATTGTTGTCTGTGTCAAGAAAAATAGGAGGCATTTATATTTACCTGTAGCATAGAATGTCAAGTTGTTGGAGAAACTAGACAGCAGTATAAGTGTGAACTGTCTTTCAGAAGAGTATGATGTTAGAACGTCCATATATGTCCTGAGGAAACAGAAGGGTAAGCTGTTGATATTCTGTGCTGAAAGTGATGAGCAGAAGTTGATGAAAAAGAGAATACTGCATAAAGCTACAAATGAAGATAGCAATCATGTATTGAAGTACCGTATCTGTCAGCACTGCAGTGAATACGTGCCTTTTAATAGCAGGCTGATAATGAAACAAACATTTCTGTCACAGTGTACTGGAAACTGAAGAGAACTATGAACATTCAACAGACTGGTTGCAAAAATTTAAGACACAGTGCTCACTTCAGCAGTACATATACTGAAAAAAAAAATACCTGGAATGATACAGAGAAGTTTAGCATGGCCCCTGGGCAAGCATGACATGCAAATTCATGAAGCATTTCATATTAAAAATAATAATAATAAAAAAAACAATAGGCCAGGCAAGGTGGCTCATACCTATAATCCCAGCACTTTGGGAGGCCAAAGTGGGCAGATCACTTGAGGTCAGGAGTTCGAGACCAGCCTGGCCAACTAAAGTCAAGTCAGACCAGCCTGACTTTACTAAAAATACAAAAATTAGATGGGTGTGATGGTGCATACCTGTAGTCCCAGCTATTCAGGAGGCTGAGGCATGAGAATTGCTTGAACCCAGGAGGCAGAGGTTGCAGTGAGCTGAGATTGTGCCACTGCACCCCAGCCTGGATGACAGAGTGATACTCAGTCTCAAATAAATCAATTTTAAAAGACACAGCATTGAATTTTTAAATGTTTGGCATGATAAAGCACCTGCTGATCATGAAACAAGAGAAATTCATTGACACACTTGCCAAGGTCTTTGCTAATGATGCCAGAACAAGTCTGTAATAGTGATTAAACATCACTGTTTGGGCATTATTGCTCCACAAAGACACTGACTGCAGCTGATAAAACAGCCCTTCCAAGAATTAAGGATGCCAAGGACCAAATAACTGTGCTGGGATATACTTATGCAGCAGGCATGCATAAGTAAACTTGCTGTGATAGGCAAAAGCTTACTCACTGTTTTCAAGGAGTGAATTTATTACCAGTCCAATGTTATGCTAATAAAAAGGCATGGATCACCAGGGACATTTTTTTCAGATTGGTTTCACAAACATTTTGTACCAGCAACCTGTGCTCACTGCAGAGAGGCTGACTGGATGATGACTGCAGGATTTCATTATATCTTGACAACTGTTCTGCTCATCATCCAGCTGAAATTCTCATCAAAAATAATGTTTATGGTTCATGCCTGTAATCTCAGCATGCCTGTAATCTTAGCACTTTGGGAGGATTGCCTGAGCCCAGGAGTTCAAGCCCACCCTGGGCAGCACTGCAAGACCCAATCTCTAAAAAAAAAAAAAATTAACTGGATATTGTGGTTTGTGCCTGTATTCTCAGCTACCTGGGAGGCTGAAGTGAGAGGATCACTTGAACCCAGGAAGTCAAGGCTGCAGTGAGCCATCATTGCCTCACTGCACTCCAGCCTGGGCATCAGAGTAAATCCCTGTCTCAAAACAAAAACAAAAATGTTTGTATCTTTATGCCATGTACTTTCTCCCAAGTATGACTTCATTAATTCAGCCATGTCACCAGTAATATCCAAAAAATTGTTGCTAAGGTCATTGTCAAGAAGCTTTTTTCCTGTGTTTTATTCTAGTAGTTTTATAGTTTAAGGTCTTTATGTTTAGTTTTTAATCCATTTTGAGTTGATTTTGTTTATGGTAAGATAAAAGTCCAAGTTTATTCTTCTTCATGTGGATATTCAGTTGTTTCAACACCATTTATTGAAGAGACAATCCTTACCCTATTGTGTATTCTTGGCAACCTTGTCAAAAATCAGATAGTATAAATTATGGATTGATTTATGGGCTCCCTATTTTGTTGCATTGGTCTATATGTCTTATTGAAAAGACTTGTACGTATGTTTCCCCTTTGCATTTTCTCTTTTGTAGTTTGCCTGTTTATATTTGCTCTCCCATTTTTCTTTTTTTGATTTCTAGCTACTTTGTATATTAGAAATAGTTTTCCTCAGTATCACATCTGTCTTTTCCTTTGTATATGTCATCTTCTGTCATACATATTATCTTTTAATTAAAAAATGTCTTTCCCCTCAAGGCTGTCAGGATTTTTTCTGTCTTCCTTGAATAGAAGGAAGTGATACAGAATAAGTCTTTTTTCCTCAGTATACAGAATAATTATTTGTACTCTTGAAAAACAAAATTTTATTACTCGAAATCATCAATACCCATCTAGATTTTCTTCTGATACATTTATTATTTTGCTATTGTGATACTTGTTTTTATATATGGTAGGAAGTTAGAAGTGTATGTGCTTTTTTTTTTTCAGCTGGATAGCTACTTAGGACATCATCATTATTTAAATACCTAAAGGACATACATTTGGGTCTATTATTGAACTTTATTCTGTACTTCTGGTCTATGGGTCTCTTTCAGTGCCAATAGTAGTGTTTTGATTACAGTAACTTTATCAAAAGTGACAGGATCTGGTAAGACAAGTCCCTGGTTACTTTTTACTGTTCATACATTCATTCTTCCATATTAACACTGGTATCTTATTCTTTTTTTAAAAAGGTTATTTTAAACTATTGATATCCTGAGTGAAATTACTTTAAATGTGTAAGTTCATTTGAAATGATGGGTATTGCTATACTACAGAATTTGTAAAGTAACAGATTAATGCTCTGTGATTTATGATAGAATAATTGTAATAGATTTACACTTAAAATTTGATTTTCTGCTGCCTTGCTTATTTGCACTTTAGTGGCTACCGTTTGGGTGATAGCTTCAGAGGACTTTGCAGTAGCAGCCATATTCTAGGGCCCTTTGAAACAATGAATGGCATATGACTTATTCATGCAATAAAATGGAAGAGTTTCATTAGTTAAGATTTTGTTTTTCATGAGCACAAATGGTTATTCTGTATATGGAGGAAAAAAGACTTATTCTGTGTGTTGAGATTACAGAATTTTTGTACTTTTTATCCTTCTCTTCAATCTTTGTATTCAGAAGCGATTGTTGGAAGCCATGGAGACATGTAACCACTCCCTCAAAAAGGAAGAGAGGAAAAGGAACCAACATAGTGAGTGCTTAATGTGCTGGTATGATAGAGACACAGAGTTTATCTATCCTTCTCCATGGCCAGAAAAGTTCCCTGCCATAGAACGATGTTGTACGAGGTAATGTTATTCGGTAATTTTTCAGCAACAAAAGAGCCCTCCTAACAAGGGTGTGGGGTGTGGGGGAGAGGGAGCTTTGAATGTCTATTTGGAGAATTAGCAAATAGTTTAGACAATTGATAACCAATGAGTTGCATCTAACTTGCTGAGTGAGTTATAATTGTTGTGTCTATAATTCTCTACTTGGGTCAGATTCTGCATCTCTTTCCTTCTTCTGTTAAAAGTGTTTGAATTTTTTCTCTAGTGTATATCCCTGCACTTTGTCTCCCTCAAATGGATATGTGAATTTTTGTTTCCATTGTCAATGTCTCTGCTCCCAGCATCATTTGATGTGCTGTGACATTGATGATTATACTGCCCAGCCACCCAACTAGAAAGAAGAAAATAAGAAATAAAATAGCTCCATTTTTTCTCTTCATTAAAATGTCTTCCTTGTTTTTTCTCTTCTCTCATCTTCCTTGCAAATACTCTAACCAGGTAGCAATTGAGTTGCAAATAAAGTGAACATCTCTCAGTTATAACTTTTCCTTTTGCTAAAGCAAAGAGAAAAATAAAATAAGCATTATAAAATGTTTATTTTCTATTCTGGATTTTGGAACATGGACGATATAGAGATCTGTGTTATGCTTCACATTTTCTCTTAAATATTGTATATAGTATATAATTTTGTTTTAGATTAGTGGGGAAAATCTCTGCTTAGTAATCTACAGGCATGATTATGTCTAGACCAGTAACAATAGAGAAACTGGTTATCTGCTTGTGTTTTCTTTGTCTGGAACTAATTGTCATTTTCTTCTTCTTTTTTTTTTTGACACGGAGTCTCGCTCTGTCGGTTAGGCTGAAATGCAGTGGCGCAATCTCAACTCACTGCAACCTCTGCCTCCCAGGTTCGAGCGATTCTCCTTCCTCAGCCTCCTGAGTAGCTGGGCCTGCAGGCACATGCCACCATGCCTGGCTAATTTTTGTAGTTTTAGTGGAGACGGGGTTTCACCATGTTGGCCAGGATGCATTCTCTCCTTTAAAAGCAAGGATGCTCTTACAGTTTATTCGAGGGAAAGTTAAAAAACTAATTGCTTATAATGTTTTAATTTTAAATTAAATGCCTTGATTTATTTTCTAGGTATAAAATAATATCATTAGATGCTTGGCGTGTAGACATAAGCAAAAACAAAATAACCAGAGTTGACCAGAAGGCATTATATTTTTGCGGATTTCCTACTCTGAAACACATCAAACACAAAGTCAGTGGCTATTTAGTTCAGAATTTTTTCACTTTATTAAGTGTGAAGTGATTATGGAGAAATAATTAAAATTAAATTCTTTGAATTCTTTTGAAGTTTTTTTTGAAGAAAAGTGGTGTTCAAGTATTCCAGCAAAGCAGTCGTGGAGAAAACATGATGTTGGAAATCTTAGTGGACACAGAATCAGATGAACTTGTAAGTGTTTTATTTATCATTAATTTATTAGATACTTATTATGTATTAAACTGTAGCTGCTGGGCTGTTTACCAAAGAGGTATTACATGTTATAACTCCGGAAATTCAGAGCCTAAATAAGGATAAAGCAAAGAAACAATCATACTAATTAGATAATAGTTCAAGAACCTGTATCATTGTGACACAATGAATATACACATTTTCTAGGAATTTTTAAAAGGAGATGAGCTATGTAAACCAAAAGTTAAGTATAGACTTGTAAATGAGAATAGGCTTGAGCTGAGTGCTGAAAAAAACAGGTTAGGACAAAAAAAAGGAGGAGAAAGGCATTCTAGTCCAAAGAAATATCATGAGCCAGTCATTTCGGTAAAAAATGTGATATATTACTGCTTTTAACCTTTTTGTGCGTCTGAACTATTTCTTAACACTTATTCTTTTCTGTAGAATAAATGTGATATGTTTGAGGACAAGGAATAAATAAGCCTTATTGAAGCAGAGGGTTTGTGTTGGGAACTAGTGGAAGGTAAGGTTGAAAAAAACAGATTGAGGCCAGATTATGGAGAACCTTGAGTACCAGGCTAAGGACTCTTTTTTCTCATGACCTTTATCTTGAAATTGGTATTTTCATAAAGATTAATGTGGTGGTAGTATAATAAACTAAATTACACAAGAGAGAAATGGAAGAAAACGGGAAAGCTTTCAAGTTTAATGGTTGTCGCATCAGGTGATAGAGACATAAACTATGGAAGTAGCAGTAGATCTAGATGAGCAAGATGACATTAAACTGATAGGTTCATTATTTGTGCAAATACAGGGTGTGAAAAGAGAAACTAATAGTAAATATGACTGAGATATTCAGGCTAATTAACTAAAAAAATTACAGTTACTGGAGTAGGAAAGTTAAAACAGAGAAGTTGATGGTTTAGGGGATTGAAATGGTAAATAATGATGGAATTTTAAGGTGACATAGGATGTTTAACTGTAACTGCCTTGCCAGCCTTTCTTAACTAGTGTTTCATAAGATGGATAAGCCCTAATGCCCTAAGTCATTCATTGTACGTAATAAATTAACTTACCTTTTGTGCGTTTAGCACAGTAGTAATTATGTACCATCCTTGAGAGAATTGAGCAAGTAGACATTTTTGCTAGAGCTTAGAGAGAGATAAGAATATTCAAGTCATCAACAAAGAATTGATGACTTGAGGTTCATTTCCCTGGTGACAAGGTACATTGAGTGTTCATGGTCTCAGCATAAAGAAATGGCCACAGTTATAAATGGTGAAGAGGAAGCCGATAGAAACAGAGAGGTAAGAAAGAAGGATTCCAAAGTTAAATAGTACCACAGAAAAATGGAGCAGAGGATGTAATCTGCATAAATCTGAAGAATGAAAACTCAAATAAGATCTGTGAATTTGTCTATTAGAACATCAATGTTGATCTTTGAAAATTCCATTTCAGTAGATTGGTGGAAGCAGAATTTCAGTTCCTGAGAATGAGGCTTAGGATTGGGTAGATGGGAAGTCAAGGTAGTAAGTATTAAGCCCTAGGTCAAGAAGTTCATCATTTATTTATTTTTTATTTTTTTATTTTTTTACTTTTTTTTTTATTTTAGGTTTTGGGGTACATTTAAAGAACATGCAAGATAGTTGCATAGGTACACACATGGCAGTGTGATTTGCTGCCTTCCTCTCCTTCACCTATATCTGGCATTTCTCCCCATGTTATCCCTCCCCAACTCCCCACCCCTCACTGTCCCTCCCCTATTTCCCCGCAACAGACCCAGTGTGTAGTGCTTCCCTCCCTGTGTCCATGCGTTCTCATTGTTCAACACCCGCCTATGAGTGAGAACATGTGGTGTTTGATTTTCTGCTCTTGTGTCAGTTTGCTGAGAATGATGGTTTCCAGGTTCATCCATGTCCCTACAGAGGACACAAACTCCATCATTTTTGATGGCTGCATAATATTCCATGGTATATATGTGCCACATTTTCCCTGTCCAGTCTATCATCGATGGGCATTTGGGTTGGTTCCGGTCTTTGCTATTGTAAACAGTGCTGCAGTGATCATTCGTGTGCATATGTCCTTATAGTAGAATGATTTATAATCCTTTGGATATATACCCAGTAATGGGATTGCTGGGTCAAATGGAATTTCTATTTCTAGGTCCTTAAGGAATTGCCACACTGTCTTCCGCAATGGTTGAACTAATTTACACTCCCACCAACAGTGTAAAAGTGTTCCTATTTCTCCACATCCTCTCCAGCATCTGTTGTCTCTAGATTTTTTAATGATCGCCATTCTAACTGGCGTGAGATGGTATCTCAATGTAGTTTTGATTTGCATTTCTCTAATGACCAGTGATGATGAGCATTTTTTCATGTTTGTTGGCCTCATGTATGTCTTCTTTTGTAAAGTATCCGTTCATATCCTTTGCCCACTTTTGAATGGACTTGTTTGTTTTTATCTTGTAAAACTCTTTTAGTTCTTTGTAAATTCTGGATATCAGCCCTTTGTCAGATGGGTAGACTGCAAAAGTTTTTTCCCATTCTCTTGGTTGCCGATTAACTCTAATGACTGTTTCTTTTGCCGTGCAGAAGCTGTGGAGTTTGATTAGGTCCCATTTGTCTATTTTGGCTTTTGTTGCCAATGCTTTTGGTGTTTTGGTCATGAAGTCCTTGCCTACGCCTATGTCCTGAATGGTTTTGCCTAGATTTTCTTCTCGGGTTTTTATGGTGTTAGGTCTTATGTTTAAGTCTTTAATCCATCTGGAGTTAATTTTAGTGTAAGGTGTCAGGAAGGGGTCCAGTTTCTGCTTTCTGCACATGGTGAGTTTTCCCAACACCATTTATTAAACAGGGAATCCTTTCCCCATTGCTTGTTTTTGTCAGGTTTGTCAAAGATCAGATGGTTGTAGATATGTTGTGTTGCCTCCAAGGCCTCTGTTCTGTTCCATTGGTCTCTATCTCTGTTTTGGTACCAGTACCATGCTGTTTTGATTACTGTAGCCTTGTAGTATAGTTTGAAGTCTGGTAGTGTGATGTCTCCTGCTTTGTTCTTTTTGCTTAGAATTGACTTGGCTATGTGGGCTCTCTTTTGATTCCATATGAAGTTTAAGGTGTTTTTTTTTCCAGTCCTTGGAAGAAGGTCATTGGTAGCTTGATGGGGATAGTGATGAATCTGTAAATTACTTTGGGCAGTACGGCCATTTTCACGATACTGATTCTTGCTAACCGTGAACATGGAATGTTTCTCCATCTGTTTGTGTCCTCTCTTATTTTGTTGAGCAGTGGTTTGTACTTCTCTTTGAAGAGGTCCTTTATGTTCCTTGTTAGTTTTATTCCTATGTATTTTATTCTCTTTGTAGCAATTGTGAATGGCAATTCATTCTTGATTTGGCTCTCTTTAAGACTGTTATTGGTGTATAGGAATGCTTGTGATTTTTGCACATTTATATTGTATCCTGAGACTGCTGAAGTTGCTTATCAGTTTCAGGAGATTTTGGGCTGAGACAATGGGGTCTTCTAGATATACAATCATATCGTCTGCAAATAGAGACAATTTGACTTCCTCCTTTCCTATTTGAATACCCTTTATTTCTTTTTCTTGCCTGATTGCTCTGGCTAGAACTTCTAGTACTATATTGAATAGGAGTGGTGAGAGAGGGCATCCTTGTCTAGTGCCAGATTTCAAAGGGAATGCTTCCAGTTTTTTCCCATAGATTTTTGCATCTATGTTTATCAAGGATATTGGCCTGTTCGTATGTCATAAATAGCTTTTATTATTTTGAGATACGTTCCGTCAATACCTAGTTTATTGAGGGTTTTTACCATAAAAGGCTGTTGAATTTTGTCAAAGGCCTTCTCTGCATCAGTTGAGATAATCATGTGGTTTTTGTCTTTGGTTCTGTTTATGTAGTGAATTACATTTATAGACTTGCATATGTTGAACTAGCCTTGCATCCCTGGGATGAAGCCTACTTGATCATGGTGGATAAGATTTTTGATGTGCTGTTGCGTTGCAGTTGGCTTGCCAGTATTTTATAGAAGATTTTTGCATCTATGTTCATCAGGGATATTGGCCTGAAGTTTTCTTTTCTTGTTGAGTCTCTGCCGGGTTTTGGTATCAGGATGATGTTGGTCTCATAAAATCATTTGGGAAGAATTCCCTCTTTTTGCATTATTTGGAATAGTTTCAGAAGTAATGGTACCAGCTCCTCTTTGTATGTCTGATAAAATTTGGTTGTGAACCCATCTGGACCTGGGCTTTTTTTGGGTGGTAGGCTCTTTTTTTTTTTTTTTTTTTTTTTTTTTTTTGAGACAGAGTTTTGCTCTTGTTACCCAGGCTGGAGTGCAATGGCGCGATCTCGGCTCACCGCAACCTCCGCCTCCTGGGTTCAGGCAATTCTCCTGCCTCAGCCTCTTGAGTAGCTCGGATTACAGGCATGTGCCACCATGCCCAGCTAATTTTTTGTATTTTTAGTAGAGACGGGGTTTCACCATATTGACTAGGATGATCTCGATCTCTTGACCTCATGATCCACCCGCCTCGGCCTCCCAAAGTGCTGGGATTACAGGCTTGAGCCACCGCGCCCGGCTGGGTGGTAGGCTCTTAATTGCTGCCTCAACTTCAGACCTTGTTACTGGTCTATTCAGGGTTTCGACTTCTTCCTGGTTTAGGCTTGGGAGGAGGCAAGTGTCCAGGAATTTATCCATTTCTTCCAGGTTTATTAGTTTATGTGCATAGAATTGTTTGTAATAATCTCTGATGATGGTTTGAATTTCTGTGGAATCTGTGGTGATATCCCCTTTATCGTTTTTTATTGCATCTATTTGGTTATTCTCTCTTTTCTTCTTTATTAATCTGGCTAGTGGTCTGTCTATGTTGTTGATTACTTTGAAAAACCAGCTCCTGGATTTATTGATTTTTTGAAGGGTTTTTTGTGTCTCTATCTCCTTTAGTTCTGCTCTGATGTTAGTTATTTCTTGTCTTCTGCTAGCTTT